CCGAGGTATCATGAGTGCTCCCGCCCGTGAGAGAGACCTCAGGTCAGGATCTTATTGCGGCACCCTCTTACGCCATTAGTGTTAAAATCCAGTGTCATGGAAGCGATAAGCACGTGCTTGGTGGCGTGATGTTGGTGCCAACCAAACAGCTGATCGACGGGGGCAGTTCGGTGCAGCCGATTGACTCCGGGGGGCCCTCCACTTCCTCCTCTAGTGAGGATATCCAGAACGTGAGTAGTCACGGAGACCTCCCGCCTTTACCTGATAGCCCCACCGCCCAGCTCGATCCGGGTAAGCAAGCCCTAAGAGAGCTCCTAAAGGACAGAAAGACTCAAAAGAAGAGTAAAACTTCGTGCGTGGCGTTGCTGAAGCTGTACACGACCATCCTCGCGGGGCTCATGATCATCGGAGGGCTGTTCACGCTCCTGTTCCTCGTGCCGATGATCATAGACCCGGCCCTCGCCACCCTCACCTACGACTTCCACCCAACGCCCGTGCTGTGTATGACCACCTTCGCGGAGTGGGTGGAAGGCCTCAAGAACATCACGTGGTGTTCGTGCACGGAGGGATGCACCAGCGACGTGTACAACTGTTCTCAGATCACAGTCGTGTACAGAAACTGTGTGGAAGGGAACGACTCTGAGACTCGGAGTTTCGGTTGTGACGTAAATAGCACGATGAGCAGCACAAACACTTCTTACATAGACCCAGCTCACTGGGACGTGCTCAACGCCTCTTTGTTCATTAATGTCAAGGGCTGCGGCTACCCGCCTGTGGTTAATTGTTCCAACTTTATGGACAATTTCGGCGTTCCGGGGCGCAGATTCTGGTGCTACTACAGCAAGATGGATCCTTACCTGGTGATGCCCGAGTACGATCCCCAGCAGGCAGAAAGCGATCTCATTCTCTCCTTGGGCTGGACTGTCGGGGCGCAAGTCCTGGGAATCATTATCATTGCGATCCTCCACTGCCCATACGTCGCCTTCTTCAAGAGTCTTTGGCGGAAGCGACGAACTGTCTTGCAGCCAGAGTAAGTACTCCAGTTAAACATACTTTGACTTGTACTCTCACTTGCTGGCTTTTTTGTCATCCCAACTCTGAGGTTGTTGCAGCAACCTCGTGATTTTATTCATAGTTGTAAGTCAGTCCACCATGGCAAATGGAAAGAAGCACTGCTCCTCCCACAGTTAAAGTCATCTATATAATCCCCAACTAATATTGTCCGTTTTCCCATACTTTGTCCGCACCCAAGGCACCACAGTCACCCAACTAGCCCACTAGTCGTAACAATGTTTCAAGTGCTTGGTATTTGGTTTCGCCCTTGTGGTTCACCGATGATCCCATCGTCCAAGGGGCTGGAATACACACTTTACGGGACCAAACATCGAAGGACAGCTCGCTCTCCAGGCAGCCCACACATCGCTGGACGTCAATATAGAATCATTCAAAGGTTTTAAGTATCGGAACAGCACGATATCTGGCGAACTTACCATAGCTGATCCGCCATTCTCATTTAAGTATTTTAGAAGAAGAGAGCTTAGTCAAGCAGTGTTAAGGGAGGTCTATAGTGATAGATATGTTAGGTTTGGACGTTGAAGTAGGGCAGTTAAAGGCAATCTGTTGACCGTGTAGCGGGATTACTAGTTAACACATGGTGTGTTACTACAAGTTAATACGTGTGTGCAGCAGGATTGCCAGTTAACACGTGGCGTGTTGCTACAACGGGCAGGCGGTGATGTTAGTCCGGTTAGTTGCTGTGATGGAGTTGTTTCGTTGACACTTGCTTTCCTTACTGCGTCTTTTCCCTGTCCGTCTTCCGTTTTCATTTTTTTATTTTTTATGCAGAATGATTGAGCTACGAAGGGAGAATCTAAGGAAAGGGCCTTTCCTCTTTTGGACAGTTTTACTTCGTTTCGCGCTTTCCAGTGGCTTCCGTGCCCCCCCCTCTCCCTTTGTTTCTCTCACTCCGACTTGGCCCCCGAGTCTTTTTATCGCCGCCTCCCTTCCTTTCCCTGCTTTCCCTTGCCTTTCCACCCTCTTATGAGAGTGTTGTATATGTTGGACTGTTACTTAGGAGTCCAAGCGCCAACAAAATAAGAAGAAATCTCCATTACATTTATACGAGCGCTGTACACACACACACACGCACGCACGCACGCACGCACGCACGCACACACACACACACACACACACACACACACACACACACACACACACACACACACACACACACACACACACACGTACACACGTACACACACGCGCGAAAGAGTTGATTTTCTTCCTATCCAGTGGATCGAAAATTGAGCGTTGCTGCGCAGCAGCGACGGCGTCCATTATCAATTTATAGACCAGTCCGATGCCATTATTGCCTTAAGATTATATATTCCAATAACAACGTGGGTTTAATACCGTCTCTCAGGAGCAGCAGAGTTCTTGGTGATTTTCATGGCTCTTACGTTCTCGCTAATTTGCGCATCAGCCTGTGAACCCAACTGAATTTCCAGTTTACAAAAACACCAAAAGCTTATGCTTGACAACGAGATCCTGAGTAAGCTCACCTGTGCGGACAATCTTGCTGATGCAATCTTGCTGATGCGAGATTGTACATTGCAGAATTCCTGGAAACAGCTCGCACAAAAGAGGAAAAAGACGAAAGAATATCTGTTGTCTTAGAAAAACGCTCACTCCACACGGTAAAAAAGCTTCATCATATTTGTCCGAATGCAGGGCACGACAACGCCAATGGAAGGCGACCGGGCTGAACCCATAGGCGCCATTGTTTCTTCTTCTTCTTGCTTAATGCTGGTTATCGTGGAGCGTTGAGTTGATGGAAGTTTCTCTTTTCAATTTCATCAATAATAAGAAACTATGTTACACGGACGCGCACACGCATATGTATAAGTATATATTTATATATGTATATATGTATATATATATATGCATATGTAAATGTATATGTTCATATATGTATATATGTATATGTAAATGTATATAAATACATATTTATCTGGATATATATATATATATATATATATATATATATATATATATATATTGAGAGTGAGGGAGAGAGAGAGAGAGAGAGAGAGAGA